CAGCGCCTGGGGCAGAGGAGATGAGAAAACCAGAAAGCGAGGAAATCTGAGCCAGCAGCGCTGGGGCTGGGCGGGCCGAGGCTTGCTTAGCCTGCTAGGCCCGGGAAACAGGTTCCCCAGAGACCCGGCCAGAGGAGAGAGTGCTGGTTTAGTCGCCACCTTCATCAAGGGGGCATGGCCAGTCCCTGAGCCCAGGCCTTCCTTATTCAGCCTTCCAGATGCAGAGGCCAGGAGGGCAAGTTTTCTCTCAAGGTTACCCAGTACAGCGGCTGCCCTGTCCCCACAGGGGAGGCCAGATAGAGACAAATAGTGTAGACAGACAGAGGATCGACAGGCAGCAGGAGGCCCAGGGCTGCACTTCAGTCCCCAGCAGCACAGGCTGGAAGAGCCAGAAGGAAGTGAAACAGGCATGAGCACTGCCAGAAACAAAGTCTGGGCCAGGTGGAAGGGCTGGAGGTGTTTGGGGGAGAAGACCTTCAAAGCTCTCCTGCCCACTGCAGCACCATCACCCAGGGCGGGGGCTGGGACAAAGGGGGCCAATTCCTTCCCAGGTGTAACCCCCATTGTTGGGCTTTGTGGCACCTCAGAAGCTCTGGGAAGCTGAGCCATGAGCCCAAGGCTACACAGCCAGGATATCACCCCAAGGGCCCATCCCCATGTGGGAAGAGAGAGGGGGCTGCTCCAGAGGCTGGGTCAGTGGGGGAACCTGACCTGGCGTAACCATCTCTGAACTCCCTACCACCTTGTGTATCCAGGCTGGTACTAGGGTGGGCCATGGGGGAGCTGGAAAAGAAGAATGCGTGGGGTCCAAGTGTCTGTAGAGGAGGGAGGGATGGAGGCCAGGCAGGTGTTAGCCTGGCCTGGTCTCCGTTCAGGCAACCCCACAGGGCATCCTGGGTGGTTCTCAGGTGGAGCTAGCACAGCAGAGTGGCTTTTAGAGGGAAAGACTGAAGGACTCTGGGTGGCAGGGAGAGTGTCGGGCGGGGGCAGCCAGTCCAGAGGAGCTAGGTAGTAGGCATGGAGTTGGCTCCTGTGCTCCTGTGCTCTTGGCTCACGCGCCCTCTTGGATCTGGTATTGCAGGAATTTGCCCTCTTATTCATTCAGTAAAGATTTATTGAACTCCCTAAGTGCCGCGTGTGGCTCTAGCACTCATTGCCAGCCCCCCAGCACCGGTCTGAGTTGCAGGCCCTTGGCTTCATGTGGGCCCTGTGGCCTGGCCCTTCCCTCCTGGAGCCTTCCCATAGCTCCTGAAAATGCCACCTTTCCCACACCACAGCCTGGTGCTTATAGGCCTCACCCCACTTCTCCCAGTCTCCTCTTCCTCATCTGTACAATGGGGACAGCAGGACTTGCTTCTCAATGGGATTGTGAAGTGCTGGGGAGGGGGCAAAAGACCATAAACCCTGCTGGCATGCAGGGCCTCCCAACCCCGCATCAGGGGCTGGTTTCAAGGGGTCTTTGGACTCCTGCAATTGAAGGCAAAATCACAGGAGGCTCCACAGTATTCCTCCCAATGATACATATTATATATAAAATGACAAATAGTGTTACAAAATGCTCATCCCAGCATGACACACACAGGGCAAGGGTGCAGTGTGGATTCACTGTGGCAATAATAAAATTATTTTGATTTTTATTGATTACTCAGCCTTCTCACACTGATTAGAAGAGAAGTGGCATCACTCCACTGTGTGCAGCCAAGCCCAGCTCTAGCTCTCCTCCCTTTCCTTGTCCCCTTCCTCCCACCCCCCTGCCACCAAAGAACTCTGTGTGCTGGGCCTAATCTGTGTGTCTGAGAGGTGCTCCATGGACAAATCAATTGAGTCTCTTTCCTTCCTAACCCAGAACCCTGGAGTTGTCTTTGGCAAGTCCTCACAGTTCTGCTTTAGTGAGCAGGATAATGATCATGCTGGTGGTGGTGACAGAGGAGGCCAGGCTCTGAGGAAGCCAGGGAGGTTGTGGGGTGGTGTTGGAATTGATGGCTTTGGAAACCACAGTAATGGTGTCATATGCTGCACTGGTAATGGTGGTGCAGTGGTGGTGACCTCAGGGGTGACCCTGGTACAGAGGAGTGGGGATGAGGAGGAATGACTGACAGAGTGATTTTATTTTTATTTTTTTATTTTTTCAATTTTTTGGCAGCGTTGGGTCTTCGTTGTTGCGCGTGGGCTTTCTCTAGGGGTAGCAAGCTGGGGCTACTCTTCATTGTGGTGCACGGGCTTCTCATTGCGGTGGCTTCTCTTGTTGTGGAGCACAGGCTCCAGGTGCGTGGGCTACAGTGGTTGCAGCACACGAGCTCAGTAGTTGTGGCTCACGGGCTCTAGAGCGCAGGCTCAGTGGTTGTGGCGCACGAGCTTATTTGCTCCGCGGCATATGGGATCTTCCCAGACCAAGGATCGAACCCGTGTCTCCTGCATTGGCAGGCGGATTCTTAGCCACTGCACCACCAGGGAAGTCCCGACACAGTGTTTTTTGTTTTTTGCGGTACGCGGGCCTCTCACTGCTGTGGCCTCTCCCGTTGCAGAGCACAGGCTCTGGACGCGCAGGCCCAGCGGCCATGGCTCACGGGCCCAGCTGCTCCGCGGCATGTGGGATCCTCCCGGACCGGGGCACGAACCCATGTCCCCCGCATCGGCAGGCAGACTCCCAACCACTGCGCCACCAGGGAAACCCGATGATACAGTGTTTTTAAATGAGACATGACAGTGAGAGACATGCAGGCACTGTCACTGCAGCCACCATTACTGCAGGCTGCAAGCAAAAAAAAAAAAAAAAAAGAGCAAAGGGACTTCCCTGGTGGTCCAGTGGCTAAGACTCTGCACTCCGAATGCAGGGGGCACGGGTTCAATCCCTGGTCAGTGAACTAAGATCCCGCATGCCACATGGTGCGGCCAAAAAACAAAAAAAACCCTGCAGGCTGGTATTTCCTTAGATCCAGTGGCCAGCCTCTGCTTGGAACATGTGCGCCAGCACTCCAAGTCCAAGTCCGGGTCAGGAGACCCTCAGCAGGATCCCTAACATCCCACCCCAACCTACATTTGCAGTCAACCAGCCAATAGGTCAGAGTGAGAGATGTCTTGTTGGCCAGGAAGAGAAGAGGGAGAAGGAAGAGAGAGGAGAGGGGGAACAAGGGAGGAAGAGAGAAAGGAGGGGTGTAGAGGAAGAGGAGGAAAGGAGGAGAAAGGAGAGAAGGAGGAAGCAGACAAGGAAAAATAGGGGGAGAGGAAAGAGGGGGAAGAGAAGGGGAGGGCAGAGGAGGAGAGAGGAAAGAATAGAAAGGATAGAGGAGGAAGGGGAGGGAATAGGAGAAGAGGGAGGAGAAGGAGGACAAAGAGGTCCTATGCCCACTGGGACCTTGGCAAAGTGCATGGGGCCAGGCTGAGGCTGTGGTCCTGGCTGGTGAGGCTACGGCCTTGGGAGTAGGGTTAGGTTGGCTGGAGGGTCCCTTCCTCGGATCAGTTGCAGGGCCCTCAGTTCATCAGGAGGCCATTTGAAAGCCAATGTCCCTTTTAGGAACCCCTATCCGTCTCCTCTGGGGTATGGAACTGTAAGGGGGTGGGTCCGTGGGGCTACTGGCTTGAAATAGGACCGGCTGCTGAGGGCGTCTCAGGGAGCTCTACAGCGGTTGAACGGAGCTGTAAGGCTGACCTGGCTTGGGCTGGAGGCGGCGGGCAGGTCCCGCCATGCCAGCCGTCCCAGGGGCTGCACTGCCACCTGCTGAGCGGCCCGGGCAGTCCCGGGCCCTGAGCTGCGGGTCTCACGCTGGGCCAGGCATGGCGGGCAGCGAGTGGGAAGGAGGGACACGGCAGGGGGTGCGCAGGTGAGCGCAGGCTCTTTGCTCCCGGGCGCGTCTGCCCTTCCCGCCAGGGAGTTGAGTGCTCGGGTAAACACCAGGCGCGGTGTGCGCGGTGTATCCACGGATAGACAAAGCCAGGGCGGGGCGGGGGCGCCGCCTGCGAAGCCAGGGCGGGGGCGCGGGGTGCCGATTAGCCTCCCTGGGCGCAGGCTGCCCCACCGCCTGGGAGCATCGAGCCCAGCCCGCGGACAGGTGGAGAGGGGGCGGGACGGCGGCCGGGCGGGTCCCGCCCTGGGGGTGGGGCCGGGCGGGGCGGACGGGGCGGGGCCGCGCTATGCAAATGTCGCCCACGGGCGGCCAATTGCCGGCTCTCACCGCGCGGCTCCGAGCGCCCCGTCCCGCGGGCGGCCGCGAGACCAGAGCAAGCGAGCGAGCGAGGGTACGGCCGCGGTCCGGTGACCCCCGAGCGCAGCCCAGCGCGGCCGGCCGGCCCCAGTCCAGAGACCAGGCGAGCACAGCGCCACCGAGCCAAGCCGAGCGTAGCTCCCCGAAGCCCAGCGCGCGCCGTCGCCCGCGCCCCGCTCCGGGGAATGCGCCCTCGGCGCGCCGGCCAGGGGGCGCCCGCAGCCCACCCGGGGGGAGGCGGCCCCGAGCGCCCCTGAGCCTTCCCATGGCCCGGGATGGGGCCCGGGGCCTCGACTGCTGACGCGCCCGAAGCCCGCAGAACCCGTTAAGCCGGGGCCGCGGCCCCGACCCGGGCTCAGGCACAGCGGCGAGAGGGCGCGGGCAGGGCCATGGCCCCGGGGGGCCGCTAGCGCGGACCGGCTCAACCGGGAGTCCCTCTGCTGCCGCCGCCGCCGCTGCTCGGGAGCCCAGGCCCCTCCGCCGTGGAAGAGGTGAGTGCGGCGGGAACCGGGAGGGAGCGGTCAGGCAGCCGGGCCACCCCGCGATCCCTCTGGGACCCGCGGCACTGCAACTCTGCGCAAGTGTCCGGGGCTTGGAGCTCAGAGAGCCAGGGGGCTTTCCGCGGACGCAGGGGTGACCAGACGAGTGGGTGCCTATACCTGGCCGAGCTGCCCCGACCCTCAGCATCGAAGCGATGTGGAGATGTGTGGAGGATGTGGCCTGCGGGGTCACCAGTGTGCAAAGCAACTTTTTCTGTGAAAGGTTCTGGGTGGGTGGGTGGGTGTTCCCATACACCTCCACCGCCTTGTTCCTGGAGCGGGAGGCCTCATGCCCTTTCTCCTGGCTGAGCTCTCCCACTAACGCCTCAGGCAGCGTTCTTCCCCAGTAGGTACGCCTGCCCTGCCTCAGTGTCCGGATCTGGGGATCGTCTGCTGGAAGGGAAGCGCTATACTGGCAGCCCCCACGTGGAGGGTCTCCAAGATCAACAGGGCAGGACTGCCAGCCCCAAGGCTTTTCTCCCAGCTCTGTGCCAGCCCCCTGACCCTTTGCTGCTAGTTTGGGTTTGTTTTCCAGCAGGGAGTCTTGCTTGGATTAGGGGCCCTGCTGTATGTGGGGAGTAAGTGAGCTGGGAGAGCCTGCAGTCAAGCCCCCGATCTGGGCAGGCTGGGGCCCCAGTGGTTAAGTGGGCAGGGGACACTAGGAGCTAGGTGAACTTGCTTAGAGCAGGTGGGACCAGAACGTGTCAAGGTGGCCCAGGAATGAGGCAGGACTGGCAGGAGGGGTCAGCTGGAGCTAGGTCTGGAGGCCTGGCTGGATAAATAACTTCTAATTCTTGAGATAACTGTGTTGTGAACACCAGCCCATGAACACCTGGGGGAGGCGGGAGGGGGGGAATGAAGGCACCGATGTGTCTGCTCTGGAGGTTGGGGGTTCCTGTCCTGAATTCATACAGATTGTCTCCCAGAAGCCCCTGTCCTAGTTGGAGAGATAGGGAAACTGCACCCAGAGGTTGGTAGGCTCATTCCAGTCCAGGGGGTTGGATGGAGCTGGAGCCTTTTCCCAGGCTGCATAGGGAGTGTGCCTGGACCCTTGGGGTAAGGTGTCCTGGAAGGTGAGGACACTGGGCACGCCTACCCCTGTTGCTGCCCCTCAGTTCTGAAGGAGCCAGGCCCAGAAGTGCAGGGGGTTGGGGAGAGGAGGCCAGGAACCCAGCCTCAGACCCCTGCCGCTCCAGGAATACCTTGAAGGGGAAGATGGAGCGAAGCCAGGTGACCTTGACTGGGAAACCCTGGCCATGAAAGGGGGGGTTTCAATCCTAGCTATGCTGGTGTGTCTCCGCTTCCTGGTCCATAGGGTGTTGGGGGAGGGGGAAGCCAAGGAGTCAGGAAGGAGCTCTGGTCTGCTGGGGGGAGTATGAGAGCAGCTAGGTGGGGGGTGGAGTGCTGTTAATAATTTCTTCACCATGTTCCCCCGCAGCCCCTGCTCCTGCCTCCCTTCCATCCAGGCTGTTCTCAGTTCGAAGGAGCCAACCTTCCTTCCCTGAGGCAGGCTGTCCCCCACACCCCCCCCAAGCCTGAGAAGTCTGGATCAGTCTGGACAATTCGACCTCCTAGCCCCCTGCCCCACCCCCAGGTGCCTCCAGACCCCCTCGTCTGGCCGCCCCTTCCCTGCACCCCTTGCCAGCCCCAGCTCCTCGGTTCTTTGTTCGAACGTCTCTCCTCCGTCCCTCCCTCTCTCCTCCCTCTCTCCTCCTCCCTCCCGCCTGCCTCCCTCCCTTGCTCCCTCCCGCCAGCCTTCTTTCCTTCCTTCCTTCCTTCTCTGCTCTCCTCCTGGTGGGCTCCCAGGTGGCGGTGGCTGTTCCTTCTCTGTCCACCCACCTGGGCTGGGCCAGACTGGGGGCTTCTCCGGGGCTGGGGCTGGGTGGAATGCATCTAGGGGCTGGCAGAGGGGAAGCAACTGTGGAAATGCCCTCCCCTTTCCTCTCTCTGTCCTTCTCTTCCTCTTTTTCCTTCCCTCTCCTTCTCTCCTCCACCCCCCAGGCTGCCAAGGAGGGGGCCTAGACTTGGGCCTGAGGCCCCAACAGATTTGAACATCCCCTATTCACCCTTTTAAAGGGCCAAAGCATTGTGGGAGGTCCCTGTAGGGGCCCAGTGGAGCAAAGCCCTCCTCATTTCTGGACACCTTGGGGGACTCCACCACTGTCCTTGGTGACCCTGACCTTGTCACCATGAAAATGGCTGTAGGAGAAATGAGGTCACAGGGAGGACAGGAGGCAAGTCACCCTGAGCCCCCTGATACAGAGGAACAAAGCTCTCTAAGGGACCCAGCCTGCATCTTGTCCTTCCCAAGCCAGGACAGTGTCTCCCAGCTTCCTTGAGCCCCACCCCACTAGCAGGTCAAGTTCTTGAACAAACATATGCTTGTAAGGACGAGTGTGGGCATGTAAGTGTGGACGTGTGTATATCCACAACTGTTAGTGGGGGCCTCCCAGGTGAACCCCAGGGTGCTGGTAGCTGCACAGCCCTTTCTTCCGCCTGCCCGCCTCATCAGGGCCTGCCATTCAGTCAGCACCAGCTTTGTGCCCCAGCAGACTGGCGGAAGGACTGGTTCTAATTCTCCCCTCCTTCCTTCAGCCATCCTCCCTAGGAGGGAGCACCTGTGATGGGGGATTTGGAAGGAACATGAGAGGTGTGTCAGGCACTCAGGAGAGGGTGTTCCCACAGAGGGCACCACATGGGGAATGGGTCAGTCAGCCTGAAGCTGCACTTCCTGTCTGAGGAACCACCAGTGGTTTGCTTGGCAGGAGAGGCAAGGTCTCGGGGGAGGTGGGCTAGGGAGGGCATCAGGGTCTGTCGAGTGGGGTTGGACAGTCAGATGTGGAGCCTGGGCCTTGCCTCAGTATGTGTTAGCCAGTGCAGGGGATTAACAGGCCACGTTACCTCTTACACCCCACCCCCACCTCAGGGTCCTAGAAGTGGGCCTGGGGTCCTGTCTCCCATGGGAGAAGGAAGTAGGTCAGACAGATCTGGGGGATGGGGCTCACATTGTCATTCTTGGTGCCCCCACCCCCAGTGCATCTGGTTGGGGGGGGCGCGGTTGGGAAGTTGGCACTGGTTTTCGCCTGGAGGGAGCAATATGTTCAGACAACTGGTGCTGGGCTGCGTTTACCCAACAGCCAGTCTGCCTGGGGAGACAATATTTGAAAAACATTGTATGGAAACTTGGGCCTGCTGGGGGTATGGGAGTTCTGCAGGGGACACTGAGGCTGGCTCAGACCCTGCCCCAGGCCTGCTGGCTGTCCTCGCTCCCCTTCTTTGCCCTCTGTAGGCAGAGCTGGAAATTTTCCTGGCAGGAAGTCCTTCTGTATGTCTGACCTGGATCCCTCCTGCTGTGATTTCAGTAAAAGTAGACCCTACTGTTCTTTGACTCTCCTTTTCTGGCTGCTGTCTCTCTCTCACTCTAGGCCATCTATGTGTGTCTCACTCATCCTCCACTCCCTCATGCTCCCAACCCCAATAATCAGGTTCAGATTTTCCTATACTAGAAGGAGAGATTTGGCTGGAGCCAGCAGGACTGGACCCATCTTTTCCCTCATTCCTTGAAGTGGGAGAGGGAAGGAACAGCCCGTTGGGTTGGGGGTGGATGCAAGGGAACTAGAGAGGGCTGTAAGATCACCTGCTTGAGCTGAGCACTGTGAATGGAAGTCAGGAAGCTGTGATGCGGGGAGGGTTTGAGTCTCCCATGGCGCCTATTAGTCCTGGTGACCCTAGGCTGCACTCAGTGGCTGGTCTTTAGACCCATTGTTTGGGACAAGAAAGAATATGAGGTTTTCACACTGAGCCATTCATGGGCCCAGTCTGAGGGTGTGAGCAAGGAGACACCCATCGCCCTATTTATTCAGATAGGGAAACTGAGGCACCTTGGGCAGAATTACACAGGGAAATGTTGGTAGGGCAGGATACCCCACTCTGCCTCACACATTGCAATCTTGCTCCCCCTCCCAGGTGTCTAGCCGGCTGCCTGATTTCTGGGCCCTAGGCCCCTCCCACAATGCCTGTCGCTGGCCTCCTCCTCTGGGCTTCCCTACTGACTGGGGCCTGGCCAGCCACCCCAACCCAGGACTACCTCCCGGCCATGCCCCGGGTCCGGCTCTCATTTAAAGGTAAGAGGCTGCCTTGCTGTTCCCCAGCATCCTTCTCTGTCCAGAGCACTTGGCCCTGTTGCACAGGAGAGAGAAGAGAGGTCAGAGCAAAAAAGGACAAATTGTGCAGCCACATGGGTCACACTGGGTGTGTTGGGGCTGACAAAGGAGGTGGTGACTTGCTGGGAAAAGCTGGAAACTGGACTACTTAGATATTTGGAGAAGGGTCCTGAGTCTGGGCTGCTGCTTTTTTTGTTTTTTTTTTTGGCTGCATGGCATGAGGGATCTCAGTTCCCCGACCAGGGATTGAACCTGCAGTGGAAGCATGGAGTCTCAACCACTATACCGCCAGGGAAGTCCCCAGACCGCTTCTAGAGCCAGAATGTGTGGCCTCTGGGTTTGAGTCTGCAGAGCATCTCCCTCTGTGTGATAACTGGGGTGACAGAGGTGTCTTGCCTTTCAAACTTGTGTTTGCAGAAGCCCTTCCCTGGGTTTCCCTGGTGGCGCAGTGGTTAAGAGTCTGCCTGCCGATGCAGGGGACACGGGTTCGTGCCCCGGTTCGGGAAGATCCCACATGCCGCGGAGCGGCTGGGCCCGTGAGCCATGGCCGCTGAGCCTGCGCGTCCGGAGCCTGTGCTCCGCAACGGGAGAGGCCACAACACTGAGGGGCCTGCATACCACAAAAAAAAAACAAAACAAAACAAACAGAAGCCCTTCCCTGCCACTGGTCCTGCCCTGCCTGGTGAGACAATCAGGGCAGACACTGAGGCCTCCGAAAGCTAGAGGAGCAGGACCTGCTCTGCTGGGCTGTGGGTGCTTGAGGAACCTTCCTATGGGTCTCCACGTGAGAGGGGTTCCCAGGAATTGGGGAGGGGGCTCTTGGCTGTGACTAGAGACTAGACCACCCGGTGAGTTCAGGGAGAGCACGTGCTGTTCTGACAGGCCTGACATCCCCAGTGAGCACTTTGCTTGAAGTCACTGGCTCCACCACCTTTGCAGCTAACCCACTAGGCAGGTGAACACGCGTGCCACACACGCTCTCCAGGCATACCGACGGCTCACTCACTAGCCACTTCCTCGAAGGTGTGCATGATCCAAGAGTCTGCCCTCGGCCTGGGATAAGGGACAGCAGCCATGCTTGGGGGACCTGGGGTCACCGCTGAGTTCTCAGCCTTGGCCCTCCTCTGGCCCAGGGTCACTTGGTCCAGCTGCCTGCCCTGGGTGGGACCGACTCAGCCCTGGCTGACCAGATTTCCGGAGGCACTTATAAGGGTGAAAGGCTGGGCCAACCTTTCCTTCCTCAGGCTTGGCTGAGGCCCAGCCCCTACCTCACCATGTTCCCATGTCCCCCAGCAGAGCCCCTCTCCTGGCCCCATATTACCTGTGCAACTTGATGGGGGAGTGGGGAGTGAATTTCTGAGGATGTGCCTGGAAGGAGTCCTGCACAGGGCCTGAGAAATGGGCAGAAGAGTTGATTGGTTTGGGTTGTAAAAGACAACTCCTCTCCTAGGCCTAAGAAGGTGAGATACTTATTCTGCTGATATCTCTACCCTTTCCTGGTGGAAGTCCTCGGAGCTGATTAATAAATATTGAAGGGGCCTGGTCCCCCTCTCACCCCATTCCAAGCCCATGGTGCCAGCAGGGAGAATAGAGCATCCCCTCCCCCCACAGGGGCAGGGCAGGTGACTTGGTTTCCGCACCCCTGGGATCCTGGAACCAAGACGTCCACTCTGGGTATTACTTTTGTCATCACCCTGGAGACCCATGAGAGGAAGCAGGAGAAACAAGATATTGGGAGGGTCTCTGTACACTCCTTTTAAACCTTCTTGGACCTGCAGGGGCAAAGGGGCAAAGGCTTTTGTTCCTTTTTTCCAGAGAGGGAAACCGAGTATCAGGCAAGGGCAGGGCCACGGTCAGGCAGGAGGCAGAGGAGAGGCCAGAAATAGTGCTGGTGCTCTGGCCTTGCCGACGCCTGAAGCCCACATCGGCCAGGTCGATTCCCCCTCAGTTAGCTCTGAAGCTGACACCCACAGTGACTAAAAGCCCAACTCACTGGCAGCCAGCCTGTGGCGCTGACTGTTGTGGCAGCCTGGGGTGGGGCTGTTGGCTGCCTGGGGCCACCCCATCCCCAGGCCTCTGTGCTTTTGCACGGGCAGGTTTCCCTGTCCTGAATGACCTTTCTGTTTCCTACTTGATCTCCTGTCCTACTTTTATGCTTAGTTTAGCAGATTCTTGAGTACCTGCCATGTGCCAGGCCCTGTGCTGAGCACTGGGGACTGTGCAGTGAACAAGATGGGGTGCTCACAGACAAAGTGGCTGAAAAGACAATGGACACCCAGCTGGCCGGTGCCTCCTGGGAGCTCAGCACTTACTGTGCACCAGGCCCTGTGCACCCCTATCCCCCCTCATGCTGGATGGTCTCAGGCAGCTCATGCCTACGATGCGGCCCTCAGTGAGGAGTAGGCCCTCACTGATCATTTGTGGAGTGAGAATGGAGACCAACACCTACAGAACCTGGACCCTGGCCTGGCTGTGACCAGGGCTGGGGGAAGCTTCTCCTCCTGTATATACAAGAGGGGCACAGAGAGGGCTGCTCTTGGGAACACTGGTGGTCACTGTGGCTTCATGCCTCAGTTTCTCCATCTGTGCCTTGGATGGATATAGCGGCTGCCATACGAGGCCTCAGGGCCTCCCTTACCCTAGGCACATCCCCTCCCTTGCCTGGGTCCTGCTGCAGTTGGGAGGTGCTAGTTCCGGCCTAGACGGATCAGACCCTCTAAGCCGGAGGTTCTGGTATGAGGGGCCGCACTGCCCAGGGCAGATAAAGGAACAAAGGCAGGAACTGGGCCAGGCTTGGGCTTGCTGCCTGCCCATCCGCCTGGGCACCCCAGCCAGGCCTAAAGCTGAGAGAGGGTTTAAGGGAGAAGGGACCTAGGGTTCAGTCAGAGTGGGGAGACTCCTATGGCCCATCTGCTGAGCTTCCATCAGCAGCACAGCCAAGGTCATGCAGAAATGAGGGGTCAAGTGAGGAGGATTTTCAGGAGCAGGAGAGCTATTTTTTGAGAGCTCGTGGATGCTTACAACTAGAGAGCCTCTTTTTTTACCACCTATCCTTGCCTGGGGCCCTCTTTTTACCACCTATCCTTGCCTGGGCCTGGAGTCCCCTTAACCCCAGAGTCACTGGCCAAGCCTGGGAGAAAAAAACCTCTCCCTTCCCCCACCCTGAGATGGTCCAAGCCCTGGGGTACCACCTCCCACTGCAGAGGGAGGTGTGAGGGCCCTGCCAGGTCCTTTGTTTAGCTTGGGGAATGTTTACTTTTTCCCAGGAAGCCACCCCCACAATACACTGCTGCTGCCTGGGCTGGCTTTAGCCAGGACTTGAGGCCAAGAGGTGTTTGGAGGGGGAAAGCGGTCTTGTGATGACATGAGGTGGCTGGGCTACTGGGGAAACTGAGGCCGGAATAAGGAGATGGAATGGAAGGTCACCTTGCCAGGGGAGGTCAGGAAAGATGAAAATAATAGAAATAACAGTAGGTACCCATGATGATAACCAAGTGGTAGTCCCTCCAAGGCCTGGGGAGGGGGACTGCCTGGGTATCCTGTGAGGAATCAGACCCAGAGGCTTTCCCGGGTCACTCAGGAGCAGGACTAAGATGGAGCCTGGCTCTGCCTGATGTCTGAACCTGTCCCAGGACTGGGGGTGGAGGGCAGGTTGGGGATGCAGGCGCAGCCCTCTTCCATGGGCTTGGGCTCGGGCTTGGTCTCGAGCTCTAGGACCCTGCAGTGCCGGCTTTAGCCTGCCCAGCCTCACTTCCCAAGGAAAGGGCTGGGTTCGCACTGGTCAGTCTTCTTGTGCTCTCTACCACTGGAGAAACAGCACTTGGGTTTGCTTATTTCCTATGAATCCAGTTGTCCATCACCCCAGCCCCTCCACTGATCAGAGTCCTCTAGGAAGCTCTCTCCCTTCAGAGAAGGAAAACCAGGGTCCAGGAGTGAAAAGGGCTTCTATGACCAGAGCAGCCCTGGGGTTCAACCTTCTCAAGAGTCTGGGTGTATCTGGCTTGCTCTTTGGGAAGGACGTTTTGCAGGTGGAGGGTGAACGGGTTGGTGCTGGTCAGTGCCCACCAGCCCTCCTCAGCCCAGCTCCTGAGCCTCTGGGGCTATTGGGCCCATAACAGTGCCACCACTTACATCATTTGCGTGTGGCATTCGAGAACCAAAGTCGCCAGGTCTCCTTATTAGGAAATGAGGAGATTGGAGGTTAGGAAGGGTCACAGTCTATTTACTTCACCCAAGGGGGAGTGAGTATGGGGTGAATACGGATTGAATTGGAAGGGCCTTTAGCAAGCCTCGACTTAGCTGGCCTGACTGCATGGTGTGAGGAGTGGGGCTTGCCCACCAGGGGGGCTCCCTGGCCAGCCAAACAGGCTTGGAGCTTCAGATTGCGAGGGACAGGTGAGAAGGCCCAGGAGCTTGGAGGCCAGGGGTGGCACCAGGGAGCTGGGTAGGTGGCTTTGACAGCTACAGGGGGACTTGGAGCTAGCAAACTGGGGAGGTGTGGGTATTCCAGGATGAGCCTGATGAGGGAGGAAGGAAGACCCAAAGCATGAACTTGAGCCGAGATCCCTGCGTTTCGGATCTCAGTTTTCCTGGAAATGGGAGCCGCCTCACTCCTGAGAGGGAACTTGGAAATGGCCGCTTTGGGAGTTGGGAGGTCCTGGGTGCTGGTTGGCTGCCCCTCAGCTGGCCAGGGATCAGCCCTCGGAGAGAGCGGGGCAGGTCCTTGTGCTTGCGGAGAGCCTGCCTGAGGCCCAGCCTGGGTCAGCCAGGCCAGGGCCGGAGGCTCTCAGCTGTGGTCCTTCCAGGTCCAGCCAAGCTTCAGATGGGACCGCCACTGGCTGGGCCTTCTTAGCACAGGCCTTGTCTCTGGTTCCCTGGCACGATGCCCACCCCTCCCTCCCTGGCTCCAGCTTCCCTTGGCACGGAGTGAGGAGCTGGTGCATGCTCAAGGAGTAAATCAT